AACCGTCCGTCGTCCTATAAACTTGTACAGTTGCTAGCAGTTCGTAATAGGAAAGAACTTTGTCATTTAGGTAAATATTTACAATCAAGTTTACTATTACGCTCGACATAATGTGCATTGTTTAATTATCATGTGCATGCTTTTTCTTTTTATCTCCAGATAAAAACTGATTACTTCTTACTTCATTTGATTGAGATTCTTCCAATCTTTCAATCATGTACATTACTTCAATTAATCATCTCATTAATATTTTTCTTTTGTCATTTGTATTCTCATGTGCGTACAACTGTCCGCCATCTATCAAATCAGCTTGTCTTGTACAATGTAGGTTATGTTACATGTTATTCAATATTTGTGTAATGTTTTCGACACCCTTATTGTACATGTACACATTAATTACTCTGTATTATGCTGTAATGCTTATGGGCCGTAAGGCTGAAAGTGAATAAACAATACAATACAATACTAATATATAGACAATGGGAGATTAATCCCCTATTGTTTAGAGTATAAGTAGCTATATATATCTATTGTTAGAAATATAACAATTTCAAAGTTATATAGGTAAAACTACATGTAGTGATGTCAGCGTTATAGATTATCTATTGCTGTCGTCAGATATGTTTCGGTATACAACAGATTTTGAAATCAAAGTTTTTGACCCACTCATATCAGATGTCCACTGTAGACTTGTATTTAGCCTTTGTAAATTAACTGATGAATGTATATATAATACCGAATGTCATGAAAATCGATATACAAAGTGGAAATCCTGTAAAGAACAAGATTTTGTAAAACATATACTAGATGATGAAAGAGGTAATCTCCATAGAATTAATGATAAATTAAATGAATTATTAAATAAACAACACGACAATGTAACCAATAACGAAATTAATGACATTGTAAACTCAATTAGTGAATTGTTCAAAGGCTCTGCTAAGCAGGTTTTTGGTAGTAACAATGCTTACAGGAAACGGAGGTTGAGATGTGATAATAAACCTTGGTTTAATAGGGAATGCCACTTAAACAGAGTTGAATTTAATAAAGCCAAGGCCTTATTTCACAAAGTAAATAATCCTATAAATAAAACTAATCTCAATAGAGCTAGTAAAGTTTATAGAAAAACATTGAATAAAAATTACAGAAATTATCAGGAGAAATTGTCAAGCGAGTTAAGAAATACTGCTAGAATGGATTCAAAAAAATTCTGGAATATTTTGAATAAATGTGACGGATCTGTAAAGAAAGGTAATGCTGATATATGTATTACTGAATTATATGAATACTTTAAGGATCTGAACAAGTCTGTTTATGATGATGACGATTTTGAGCTGGAAAATCCTGATAATAGTATTTTTGATGATTATCTGAATGGTGAAATTACCACTGATGAAATTAAATTTTCTTTAATCAATTTGAAGAATAGTAAAGCCTCTGGTATAGATCAAATCCTAAATGAATATCTAAAAAGTACAATGGATGTATTTTTAACAATTTATCAAAAAAAAATTAACCTTATTCTGAATACTGCGTCTATACCAGATGTGTGGAAGATCGGTATTATAAAACCAGTATATAAAAACAAAGGCGATTCAAAAGATCCGCATAATTATAGAGCGATCACTTTAGTCTCGTGCCTTGGCAAAGTTTTCACTTCGGTTATTAATAATCGTTTAAATAAAATTTCTGACGAATTTGACCTGATAAGCAGTGCACAAGCTGGGTTTAGAAAGGGTCATTCTACAACCGATAACATGTTTGTATTGTATTCTTTAATCTCAATATATTTTTCATTAGGAAAAAAACTTTATTGTACGTTCATCGATTTTAGTAAGGCGTTCGATTCTGTATGGAGAGTTGGTCTGTGGAAAAAGCTCCAAAAAAGCAACATTACTGGGAAAAATTTCAATATTATTTATAAGCTATATGATAAAACCAAATCATGTGTTAAAAATGGATGTGAACAGTCGGATTTGTTCAATTGTGAGATCGGTTTAAAACAGGGCGAAAATTTATCGCCATTTTTGTTTGCAATTTATTTAAATGATTTAGAAACTTATCTTGTTGAAAAAAATGTAAATTGTCTTCAAACAATAGACAAAT